AAAAGAATCCAAATATCATTCATAGAATACACTCAAGAGAATTAAAAAAAAAAAACAAAATGTAATACAAAATCGTAACTTGATGTAATTTTTGTTATATATGATTTGATGTAATGTTATACTTGTGTTAATTATTAGTAGTTTTTACAAACATAATATTGTTCATGAGGTTCATTAACAATTATAAAACGTTTATCCATCAAAATTTAATTACGACACCACTGATTTTTGCTTAATGTTCCACTCTCCCGCATTAAGGAATTGGTCACCTTAGATTACATACGATTTCGCTTCCATTTCCAGGGAACCGTTTCGAAATGCGAAAACGGAAGAATCGCGATCGACCGGGAACTGCCTAGTCGTGCACGATGTGCACCCTCCGCTGCTTATTCATACGACGGGGACGATGCCGTCATCTTTATATTTGCCAAGCATCATCACTCCGATGTCTGCTCACGCGTGCGACCGAAGCGGACGATAAGCGGCGGAGTTCGTGTCGTAAGATGCAGTCAAGAGAGGCAAAGAGGAAGCATGCTTACTTATTTCCGTGAGACGGAGTGTCTTTCCTCCTTCCTTTTTTATCTTCCTCCGTGTTGTTCTATAGCATCACAAGCGTAATGTTTGGTTTGATGTTTCCCTCGTCGTCACTCGGGATCACCATAAATGGCAATCCTTCGAACGAACGCACCGACGCGCACGCAACACTCCGTAGGGAGTGTTCGCTTCTGCCGTTTCTCGCGTCGCGTCGCGCGTCGCGCAGGTAGCGCTGCTACTGTCCGTTGTGAGCGCGACTATGTCAACGCGGGTCGCGGATTGGTCTGCTATCCATCGCGCAATTAGCTGCGTTCAGCTCGTTGCGAACGTGCCTCGAAGTTTTCTGAAGAATAAATAAAATATACACAGTATTTCATTTTATTCTTATATTCGAATATTTCAACATAAAAATCGGGAGAAAAATATCTATAGATGGAGACGTACAATCGTAACGTATATTATACAACTTTACATATTTTCAAAATATTTAATTAATTGCCTAGTTAAGATTAAAATAAATCATTGTATTTAAATGAAT